GGTTACTGTTTTACAGAGTTTAATGTTTTGTGGTAAAACATATGGAACATAAAATTTGCCATCTTCACCATTTTAAAATGTTCATTCCAGTGGCCTTAATTAGAATCCTGATGCTGTGCGATCATAACAATCTATTTCCAAACACGATTACATGAACAACTTGGTTACTTAATGTGAAAACAGATTGTGGTGATTATTGCACAACATCAGGATTGTAAATCACAGTTATTAATGTGACTGGTGTTTGGAAATAGGCCTTATCCACTGCCACAGAGGCTTTTTCTGCCAAAGACATCCTGGCCCGTACTTCTCGTTTCCACTCGACTCTTCCTTCTGTTACTGCCTTGCTTCACCTGCCCTCTCCTGCTCACGCCCCACCCCGGACAGTGTGACACTCCGTGTATGTGTCTGCAGTCTTCTCTGAATGATCTTTCTCATCTGGTTTGCTTTGATCTCTTCACATTTTGTCCATTTTATCAACTATATTATTAAAAGGAACCTAGATATTTTTATAAATGAGGTAGATATTACGAAGAAAAAAAATAGGTAGCCAAGTTCATTCCAGCCTTAGAATACATAGTTTATTGTTAGGTGGGCATCAATATGTGGAGATAGTAAAGTCAGCTTAAAGGGCGCCCTAGCCAAGTCTATGACAATCTGAACATCAAACGGTGAGAGCAATGAACCTGAGCTCAATGAGGAATGGATTCTTTCCCATTTCAAAATATATATGAAGTACAAAGGGAAAGAAAGCAAATTCATTGCACTGAGAATCCTGGAACCATCACTATAATCTAGAGACCAAGGTAAGCATCATCAGCAGTGGGGCAAAGGAAAATTGTCTGACACCTACCAGGATGCTGTGAGAAGACACGACATCAATCCCGTGACGTCCCTGCCAGCAGTGCATAACGTTGAGTCTAATCATGAAGAAACACTGAGAGCATTCTATAAAATAACTGGTCTGGAACCTTCAAAAGTGTCTGGAACATGATGCTGGAGACTCAGGCATACTTCCAGACTGAAAAAGATACAGCACCTAATTGCAACTGCTAATTCTAACGTGGATCTTTTTGCTAAGGGTGTTATTGGGATGACGGGAAACACCTGAGTGGAGCCTGAGGACCAGAGGGTAGCAATACAGTGATGTTCATCTCCTGATTTTGATGGTCGGGTATATGGGAGGATAGCCTAGTTTGTAGGAAATGCATCTTAAAGTATTTGGGGTGATGGAGCATTACTTACTTTCCAACAGTTCAGAAAAAAGCAGTTTTTTGTAATGGAATCGCAACTGTTCTGTACAGTTTAAAATGTTTCAAAATAAAAGTTAATTTAGAAAAATGATCAGCTCTTTTATTTCAGCAGTTTGTAAATTTTCCTTTTTCTTAAAAGAGGTAGGGTGCTTCCACACAAGGCTGGCCAGATATGAAGATCATCAATTACGAAGATCATCAGTTCAGGCTCAGTCTCATTAACTTGAAAATAAAATTCTTCCTTGAAGCCACATCTGAGCCAAGTTAAAAGTGGGAGCCTGAGCGTATGGCTTCTTCACCAGTACCAAGCACGGATTCCTGCGAGGGCCGCTAGAAACATCATCCACTGAGGGACCGCTGCAACATGTCATACATCAACTGATCCTGAGAGAAAAGAAGAGGACAGCTTTTTAAATTTTAAACTGTTCAGTGCACCCATGTTCTGTTCGAACAACTGCCTCTTGGTCCATGTACAGATTCCTCACGAGCACAATTAAGTGTTCTGGAATACATATACTTCACAATGTTGTTCATAGCTTGTCATGATCTCCAAAACTCAGAACTGTACAGTAACAATGCATACAGTAACACTGCAGACATTATTACTGTACAGTTCTGAGTTTTGTTAAGTGTTATTGGGTCTGTTTCCAATGAGCAGTTGGTGGGTTTAACTGTTGACCTTGTGGCTTGCAGTCCAGGGCTGATCCAACAGCACCACACCATAAGCCCACGTATATCACTGTATGTAAATTAGATTTCCATATACAAAAAGCAAGGTTAAGAGATGCAAGTGGCAAATGTGGAGCTATGCCAATATATCCAATACTTAAAATTTTTCAAAACTTCAAAGTAAGAAATAAAGAAACTGAAGCATTCACCTTTTGAAGAGAAATCAGACAAGAGTACCCTTTATCATCATTTCTATTCAATACTGACACTCATCTGTCAGTTTGTTGAACTGTGGTGCCTTGTGTGTTACTGTGATTCTGGAAGCTATGCCATGGGTATTTAAAATACCAGCAGGGTCACCAACGACAGGTTTCAGCTGAGCTTCCAGAGGAAAACAGACTAGGAAGAAGGAGAGATGGACTCCTTTAGAATATTTAGTCACTGAAAACGTTATGAATAGCAATGAAACACTGTCAGCATGAGATTATCGAATACTGAAACATGAGAAGGAGCACCAGAATGTTGTTAGATATAGTGCTGGAAGATGAACCCCTTAGGGTAGAAGGCACTCAAATGAGACTGGGGAAGAGCTACCTCCTCAAAGTAGAGTTGACCATGATGATGCAAATGCAGTAAAGACTTTGGGCCCTTCAGAATATGGAATGTATGAAGTATGGGTGTAGGAAAATTAGAAATTGTAAACAATGAAATAGAACTCATAAACATCAATATCCTAGGCATTAGTGAGCTGCAATGGACTGGTATTGGCCATTTTGAATCTGACAATCACATGGTTTATTACTCTGGGAATGACAACTTGAAGAGGAATGGGATTGTATTCATCAACAAAAAGAACATATCCAGATCAGTCATGAAGTACAATGCTGTCTGTGATAGGATAATATCCATGTGCCTACAGGGAAGACCAGTTAATGCCACTATTATTCAAATGTACATACCAACTACTAAAGTCAGTGATGATGAAATTGAAGAATTTTACCAATTTCTTCAATCTGAAGTTGATCAAACATGCAATCAAGATGTCTTGATAATTACTGGTGATTGGAAGGCCAAAGTTGGAAACAAAGAGGAAGGATCAGTAGTTGGAAACTATGGCCTTGGTGATAGAAATGATGCTGGAGATCCCATGATAGAATTTTGCAAGACCAATGACTTCTTCATTGTGAATACCTTTTCATGCAACATAAGAGACGACTATACACATGGACCTCACCAGACGTAATACACAGAAATGAAATTTATTTAAATATCTGTAGAAAGAGATGATAGAAAAGCTCCATATCCTCAGTCAAAACAAGGCCAGGGGCAGATTGTGGAACAGAGCATCACTTGTTCATATGCAAATTCAAACTGAAGCTGAAGAAAATGAAACCAAGTCCACGAGAGCCAAAACATGACCTTGAATATATACCACCTGAATGTAAAGATCATCTGAAGAACAGATTTGATGAATTAGACACTAAAGACCAAAGACCAGAAATGCTGTGGGATGAAATCAAGAACATCATACAGGAAGAAAGGAAAAGGCCATTAAGAAGACAAGAAAAAAAAGGAAGACAAGACTCTGAAACTTGTTCTCCAGTGCAGAGATTGCAAGAAGTGGCAAATGCAAGAAGTGAAGAGATACAAGAGTTCAGCAGAAAATTTCAAAGGTCAGCTAAAGAAGAAAAAGTCAAATATTATAACAAAATGTGCAAAGATCTGGAGTTAGAACACCAAAAGGGAAGAACATGCTCAGCGTTTCTCAAGCTGAGGGAACTGAAGAAAAAATTCAAGTCTCAACTTGCAGTATTGAAGGAGTCTACGGGCAAAACATTGAATGATGCAGAAAACATCAAGAGAAGATGGAAGGAATACACAGAGTCGCTGTACTAAAAAGAAATGGTTGATGTACAACCATTTCAAGAGGTAGCCAATGATCCTGAAGGAAGAAGTCCAAGGTGCACTGAAGGGATTGTCAATGAACAAAGCACTGGGAATAGATGGATCACAAATTGAAATCTTTCAACAAACTGATGGGGCACTGGAGGCAATTCATTCATCTATGTCAAGAAATTTGGAGAAAAACTACCTGGGGCCAACTGACTAGAAGAGATCAGTATTTGTGCCCATTCCAGAGAGTTGATCCAACAGAATGTTAAAATCACTGGACAACATCATTGATATCCCAAGTAAATACAGTTTTACTAAAGGTAAAAACAGCTGCAACCAAACATTGACAGAGAACTTCCAGAGGTTCAAGCCAGATTCAGAAGAGGACATGGAATGAGGGATATCACTGTTAATGTCAGATAGATCTTGGCTGAAAGCAGACAATACCAGAAAGATATTTACCTGTGCTTTACTGACTACGCAAAGGCTTTCGATTGCATGGATCATGACAAGCTATGACAGCATTGTGGAGAATGAGTGTTCTGGAATACTTAATTGTCCTCATGAGGAACCTGTACATAGACCAAGAGGCAGTTGTTCGAACAGAACAAGGGAACACTAAAAGGTTTAAAATTAGGAAAGGTGTGCTACAGGGTTGTATTCTTTCACCATACTTATTCAACCTGCATAGTGAGCAAAGAATACAAGTAGCTGCATTGTATGATAAAAAACATGATACCAGGATTGGAGGAAGATTCATTAACAAACTATGCTATCCAGATGATATAACTCTGCTTGCTGAAATCAAAGAGGACTTAAAATATTTACTGATGAAAATCAAAGACCACAGCCTTCAGTATGGGTTGAACCTCAATGTAAAAAAAAATAAAATCCTCACAACTGGACCAATATAAATGGAGCAAAGATTGAAGTTGTCAAAGACTTCATTTTGCTTGGAGTAACTAACGCTTATAGAAACAGCAGTCCAGAAATAAGGGATGTATTGCATTAGGAAAATCTGCTGCACAAGACCTCTTTAAAGGGTTCAAAAGCAAAGAGGACTAATGGGCACCTGATTCAAGTCATGGTATTTTCAATAACTTTATATGTATGTGAAAGTTGGACAATAACGAAGACTGAAGAAGACTTGACGCATTTGAGTTATGGTGTTGGAGGAGAATATTGAAAGTACCGTGGACTGCCAAAAGAACAAACAGATCTGTGTTGGAAGTACAGCCAGAGTGCTCCTTGGAAGCCAGAATGGCCAGACGCTGTCTTTCATATTTTAGACATGTTGTCAGGAAGGAGTAGTCCCTGGAGAAGGATATAATGCTTGGGAAAGTGGAGGGTCAGAAAAAAAGGGGAAGATCCTCAATGTGAAGGACTGGCACAGCAGTGGCTGTGATTGGCTCAGGTGTAACAATGATTGTGAGGCTGGCCCAGGACCAGGCACTGTTTTGTTTTGTTGTACATGGATGGGGTTGCTATAAATTGGTAACTATTTGATGGCGCGTAATAACAATTCAATATTGTGCTGGGAGTTAAAGTTGGAGTTACAAGACAAGAAAGGGAAATGAAAGACATCGAAATTGGCACAGGGGTCGTGGTGTGGTGCTGTAAGATAAGCACGGGACTGCTAAACCGCAATATAAACGGTTTAAACCCACCAGCTGCCCTTCAGAAACCCAATACAGGATTGCTATGAATCGGAACTGACTTGACAGCATTTAACAACTACAAATTAGCAAAGAATTAAAAACCTCTATTTGCAGATGATATGATCCTATACTTAGAAAATCCCCAAAATTATTGGACCTCATTGAACTGGGATTCAGGAAAATGACCGGGTATAAGACTAACATCCAAAAATCAGCTTTATTCTATATACACTAATAAGAAGATATCTGAAAAGGAAATCAGGAAAGCAATACCATTTAAAATGTTGTTGTTGTTAAATGCCATCGAGTTGGTTCCAATTTACAGTGACCCTGTATAGGGTTTCCAAGGAGCAGCTAGCTGCTGGGTTTGAACTGCTGACCTGTGGTTCACAGCCCAGTATTGATCTTACAGCACCACACCAGGAGTCCTATTTACTATGTTGTTGTTGTTGTTGTTAAGGGCTGTCGAGTCGGTTCCGACCCATAGCGACCCTGTACAGGGTTTCCAAGGGTGTAAATCCTTACGGGAGTAGAAAGCCTCATCTTTCTCCCGCGGAGCGGCTGGTAGTTTCGAACCGCTGACCTTAAGGTTCGCAGCCCGATTAATAACCACTACGCTACCAGCTGGGAAATCTAACCAGAGAAACAAAAGACGTATGCAAAGAAAACTACAAAACAATAATATAAGAAACTAAGTCACCTACAAAAATGGAAGAATGTACCATGCTTGTGGATAGGAAGACTTAACATTGTGAAAATGTGAACACAACCCAAAGCAGTCTGTAGATATGATACAATCTGGGTTCCAACAGTATTCTTAAAATAGATGGAAAAACGAATCACTAACTTTACATGGAAAGGAAGGAGATCCCAGATAAGCAAAACATTGTTAAAAAAGAGCTAGGAGACTTTTATTTTCTGATCTAAAAACCTACTACACAGCCACAGTAATCAAAATAGCATGGCACAATGAAATACACATAAATCAGTGGAACAGAACTGAGAACACAGAAGGCAATCCAGCCACCTCAACTGAGCTGATATTTGACAAAGCACACAAACATTAAATAAGGACAAGATAGTCTCTTCAACAAATGGTGCTGGTAATACTGGAAATCCATCTGCAGAACACTGAAACAAGACCCGTATCTCATACCATATACAAAAACAAACTCAACACTGATTAAAGACCTAAATATAAAACCTAGAAATATAAAGATCATTAATGAAAAAATAAGGGCAAACCTAGGGATTCTGATGCATGGCATAAAAACACTATGAAACATAAATGAAAACACACAAACAGCAGAAGACAAAATAGATAACTAAGACCTCCTAAAAATTGGACATTATGTGTTCATGTGTTTTGGTCCTTTGTTAAAGATCAACTGAGAATAAATCTAACCAGAGAAACAAAGGTGGCTGGATTAACATCAAAAGAATTCACCAAAAGAGTAAGATGAGAACTCACAGGCTGTGGAAAAAAAATGGCAATGACATATCAAATAGACTACGTCGGGGACTGGCCTTGACATAGGGGTTCGGTTCATGAGGTGGAGATACCTGGTGGCAATAGAAATAGCAAAAGAGACACAGAGACGCAAAGAGAGAGAAAAAGAGGCGGCACCCTGAAACCAGGGTGAATGCTGGACTGGCATCAGGCAGATCCTGCATTGCAAACATCTCAGCCAGGAAGGCTGTAATATCCTGCGCATAGTAAACCTCTTGGCTAAGCAGGCAGTATGGTTGCAATGCTAGACTGAGCCCCCTGCATGCTGTAAAGCACGCCTTGCCAGTCGTAATGCCCCTGGATTCGTTCTGCGCCTTCCTTTTATTTAGGGGAGGAACTATACACAAAGCTAGGAGGGACTAAAACAAGGTACAGCTGTCAATCTTATTTTTCCAGACATTCAGGCAAGTTTACATCATACTTTGCAGGTTCGAATCTCATGACTGCAACTTGGTTTCTCAAGCTTAATTAACATACCTTTTAGCACCTAGCCTCAAATGGAGGGAGGAAAAGGAGGACTGGGAGGATTCCCATTGTGTCAGCTGCCCAGCCCAGGTTCTTCAGGAAAAGAGGCACCTGAGTGAATGGGCTACACCTGGAAACACTTTAGAGAGGGCATTCCTATTGTCCTTGGAACAGAGACTGGGGAGCCACCCAATTTACTTTGAATGCATTCTCTGAGGGAAGAACTTTGCCTGTTTGGAATTTTACAGTCTTGGCTTTTAGGAAAATATTACATTTATCTGTGGATATCAAGGGCTTCATGTATGCAATTAATAAATATAACTGAACACTAAGATGAAAAACAATTTGCTATTAACTGCCAGGTGGCTAGATCTGTTCCTCAGAGCCTGCGGCCTGCATTGTCTCAGGCCCTGTGGGCCTCGAACTTCTGACCAGATTTACACGGTCTGCAACAAGACTACTCTCCAAAATTTGTAGAACAAGAAGACAATCCAATTAAAAGCTGGGCAAAGCACATGGACAGACACTTCACCAAAGAAGACATTTAGGAGACCAACAAACATATGAAAAAACGCTCATGACTATTAGTTACTGTTGTCAAGTGTCGTTGGTTCTAAGCTGTAGCAACCCAGCATAGCATTCCAAGGAGAAGCTAGTTGATTGCTGCTGGCCTTGCAAGTTAGCAGTCTAATGGTCTTATTTTCTTTGCCCAGGTACTTTAAAGGTAGCAGTGTTTTCTCATTGGGACAAACAATTGGGGGAACTTTCTAGCAAAAGAATAAAAAAAAAAACGAGAAAAAAGAGGAAGGAGAGTGAAAGACAAAAAAAGATTTGGAAATGGGTAGTGGTGATGGTTGTGCAACACTGAGGGTGTGATTCGACTGTATATGTAAAAAAATTTTTTTTGAAGTTTTTTTTTTAAATAAAGGAAGTTTCTTGGGGGTCTCAGGAGCTGTGGTGGCAAAAACAAATAAAATATTTAAAACTTATTAAATCTTTGGCAAGATACTTTTTATTACTAGTCTACTGCTAATTTGAATAAGAAGTGCCAATAAAATTAACTACAAAATTATAACTGATTTTAATTAGTAAGACTATTTTATTCAAAGTTGTTCAGTAAAATAAGATACACAAAAATGCAGACTACTTTTTCCTTTATTTTGTGAAGGAGTTATTTTAGGTTCAAACAGACTTTTACATTACTCTACCTGAAAAAGCAGTCAGTCATAAATTTGAAAAAGACCATGTCTCTTAACTGGTTATTACAGCTCACATGACAGCAGTGACTTACAACACTGAGAGTAAGACTGGGGTACTGCAACCAGCAACTCTGGACATTAAATCGTTTTAGACTTTGACTTACTTTTCAATCAATAACATTAAGAAATGTGACTCTGGGAGTGAAAAATAGCTGATGATTTAAATAAACAGGTTCTCATGACTACTGCATACTAAACTTCCTTGAGAGTCAGGAAACCAAAAAAAACCCAGTTGTCTTCATAGAGTTGATTCTAACACATGGTGAATCCATGTGTGTCAAAGAAGACCTATGCTCCACAGGGTTTTCAAAGGCTGATTTCTAATAAGTAGATAACAAAGACTTTCTTCCAATGCATCTTTGGGTGGATGGAACTTCCAACTTTTGAGTTAGCAGCTGAGCTTGTTAACCATTTACAGCACCCAGGGACTCAGGTGTTTATTTTTAAAGGTTAAGCCACATCAGTAACTCCCATGAAACAATAAGATATCCAGAAGCATAAAGTTTATACAACATTATCCAAGACATTTTGGGTGGTGTTGGATATTTATCTACCAACCCTCTTTGTGTCACAGCAAACAGACTTCATTTAATGAACAACCACCTGAAGCATGGTGGCTACGAATTGGGCTGCAAACCTAAAGGTCAGCAGTTCGAAACAACCAGCTGTTCTGTGGGAGAAAGATGAGGCATTCTGCTCCCGTAAAGATTTACAGCCTCGGAAACTCCGTACAGGGTCGTTATGAGTCAGAACCAACTCCACGGCACATAACCACCACCACCATCTGAACTTATTACAAACATGATGCCTTAACACAGTCAGAAATAAATATGTGAAACTTGACATTTTAAGTGAGGAAAAGCCACAGTGACTTTTAAAATCCTATTGCAACTCAGAACTGAAGATAATTTCACTTTCTGAAACGTACTGATAAGCCCTTCAGGCTTAATTTGGGTACCGTGTAGCTCTGAGAAGGAAGAAACCATTTATTACAAAGGGTGGGGGAGGTCAACTAATACTTAAATGAGATTGATTAGAAAATCAAAGATTGTGGAAACCGACACTAAAGGTCCTTTAATCTCTGAGTAAGTACTAGAGAGATCTAGTTGGGAAAGGTATAGTTCAGTCTCTAAGAAACATGGGAAATGAAAACCTTTCAAGAATACTCTCACATGGACTTTTTAAAAAGTTTTTATTGTGAACTGAGTGATAGTTTACATGGGAGAGTATCGGTTTTACACTCATGGTTTCATTGAAATGATTACAATCTCCTCTGTGCATCATCATTCAACAGTTATTGCTCCTATTCCCTCTGTTTTTTGAGGGTTGGGAGTGGCGGGATGTACACCAAAACACTCAGGAATATATAATTATTTAAACAACCAAAGGGCACATTCTGTAAGCCTGCCTCCTGGCCACCAACACCCAGTCCCTCTCTTTCTCTGAGTCTAGAGTCCTCAGCTGCTCTTTCTCTCTCCATGTCCTCACCTCTGCCTCCATCTCTGGTGTTGCTGCTTCTCTAGATAGGGTCTCACATCTGCTTGTGCTCTTCTCCCTTGATGGTCCTAGGGTCCTCTGTTCTTGGACTGTAAGATTAACTACTCCCTGTTTTTGTTACAAAACTTCTACCTTTACAGTTGTGACAGTAGCAATTAGTTATAACAACTATGCACTATTGAATCATAAGGATTTTATCTCCATCTCCTTTCACCAGATCTGTCTAGACAAGATGAAAACTATTCAGTGGGGATTCTACCTTCCCCTGCACACTCTGAAACTAAACTCCCTCTTGAATATTTGTAAGCCAGTCACTTTGTGCCTTTATAGTTCCTCCATTTAGGTAGCCAATGTCTAAGTTGCCCTTTCCTCGTATGGACATTAAAATGACTATATAGTTTTTGTTTTGTATGTATACATAAAATATTTTTGTTTTGTTCATTTGTGAAATATTAAGATGTATACAGGGAGCCACAGGGAGAAAGTAGGATAAGTGTTGTTACAGGAAGATGAAACAAAGTACCTAATTTGTTGAATGTAAAGTTGATGTTCTTATGTGAAAATTTTCACTCAATTCACAAGTAAAAAAAACACACACACACACACACACCACACTTTCATAAGGCAAGTGTTTTGCTTGTTTTTGCATCAAAGTGCAAAAGCAATTTCTTTCCACTTTGGAAGAGAAGGTATATAAAATATAACCTAAAAAAGGGAGTTTCATAATTCATTAATTCATATCTACCTGGTCTCAATTCTAGTCTATTTTCTCTATATATTTAAGGGCATTTCTTACCTTTTTTGATATAGATGGTTTTACTTTCTTGAAGGCCTCTTCAAAATGTTTAAGACTGATTTTTAGCTCACCTGCGAACAAATACATAAATATACAAATCTTGGTTTAGTATGCTAATTGTGATTTAGTTTCCTCTGGGAGACTGACGGACCTCCAAACCTTCAAGGGATCACTGATGCAATTACCAATGAGACAGGGTATAGTCCTTTTCAGAACAATATCCAAGCCAGATATATTCTGTTCATCAGATTTTAATCCAGTATTAACCAAAGATACATTCTCTACTACTCATAAATAGGTACCCCTTTGTAGAACCTTTTTGCATTGTTACCTTAACTTACGGGTGATGCAGATAAAGAAGAATCAAAATTGTTCTCTTTTTAAGATATTTCAAATAATTTAACTAGGAATGAAAAGGTAGAATTCTGTAGTTGTTACTAAAAAATACTTAAGTAGATATTATGGTGTCACAGTGTTCCAACACTGAATTAGAAGGGGTTATAATTCTTTTTGATGTTATGGCATTCCATATTGTTGTTGTTAAATACCATTAAGTCAGTTCCAACTCAGTGACTTTATATAGGGTTTCCAAGGAACAGCTGGTGGGTTTGAACCACCTACCTTGAGGCTAGCAGTATAGTCCTTATCCTACAGCACCATACCAGTAAATCAAACAGTTACATTTTAAATAAGACTTGGGTAAGAATGTTATTGACAACTTACACAACAATTTATATTAAAAATATATTAGATATTAGATTGTTGTTGTTAAGTGCAGCTGAGTTGGTTCTGACTCATATTGCCCCTGTATAGGATTTCCAAGGCTTTTAAACCAATCTTTGTGGAAGCAGAAAGCCTCATCTTTCTCCTGTGGACCAGCCTGTGGACTTGAACTGCCGAATCTGTGATTCACAGTCTAGTGCTTATGCTATGGAGCTACCACACTCCCAGATATTAGATGTTGTTAAGTGCCATAGAGTCATTTCTGACTCAGTGACTCTGTATAGATAGGGTTTTCTAGGATTGGCTGGTGAGTTTGACTTTGTGGTTCAAACCGATCTTGTGGTCCAGTGCATACATATCCTACAGGGCTCCAGATACTGCTAACCTCAAGGTCAGCATTTAGAAACTACTAGTAGTTCCACAAAAAGATGAGGCCTTCTGTTCTTGTAACAATTTACAGTCTTGGAAACCCTATTCAGGGTTGCTATGAGTCGGAACTGACTTGACGGCACTTAAAAACAGCGACAACAGTATAATAAGCTAAAATCCAAGTAAGGTAACATGAAAGCAGCAGGAAAGTAGGATGTGAGAATTTATTACATTTATAAAGACTCACACATACATACAATGGTAAGTAAAAAGTATTGCTCAAAATCATGGAAACTCTGAAACAAAAATATAAAAATGTGAACCTACTGTCTCTCAATATACCCTCCATCTAGATCTATACACTTCAATAAGCAATGTTTCCATCTCCTTTGCCCTTCCCCCCACAAGGAGTTCTGGTGTGGCACTGTAGGAAAAGCACTGGACTACTAGCCACAAGATCAGTAGTAGTTCAAGCCCACTAGCCACTCCTTGGAAACCTTATACAGTGTTGCTATGAGTCAGAATTGACTCGACAGCTCTAAACAACACTTCTCTACAGAATTCTGCACTCTTAGATTTACACCGAGTCAAAACAGCAGTTTTGGTATCCTCTAGGGAATGAAATCATATTCCTTGCATTTTAGAACCAGAAAGAAGTCTGAAGGGGCAAGATCAGGACTAGAGAGTGGATGAGCTAATGTTTCCCAATGAAATTCTTACAGGAGAGCCCTTACTGCCCCTGAAGAATGAATAAGTATAGGGTCATGATAAAAAAAAAATGTCTAGGCACAATTTTCCTAGTCTTTTCCTCACCATTGTAGTTTTCTGTTTTCTTAAAACTTCTTCATAATAAATCCCCATGCTAGTGCTGTATTGTTCAAGAAAATCTACCAAGATTACCCCTTGGGAATCCCAAACAGTCACCTTAATTTTCTGAGTTAATCTCTCTGCCCTGAGTTTAAATGGCCCAGCACATCCTCTAGAAAGCGATTGTTTTGCTTGGGCTTGGCTCTCTGGCTAATAATGGTAAATCCTAAACTTGTACCTGGTTATGATTTGTTCCATTAAATTGACTTTATTAGCTTGGCTCCTGCTTAAAAGATTGATGATAAGATACTGCTTAAAAGATTGATGCTTAAAAGATTTAATGGAACGCTTTGTTCCATTAAATTGTTTTTATTGGCTAGGCTCCTACTTAAAAGATTGATGGCAAGAGATCTTTGAGTTTGCTGATCTTCACACAACCCTTTTGTTGGCACTCATTAAGCTTTGAGAGCCTGTGGAAACCAAGATGTTCTCTTAAAATGGAAAGTGCCGAATCATGTGAAACCAGCTATCACATCAATGGTCCAATTCTGAAGTCTTCTTTTACCCGTTTCAAGATTTCAGGCACAGTTTCTTCGTTAACTGAGGCTGATGATCTTTCCTCTGCTTGTTCATCTTTGAGGTCTTCCTGACCTTCCTTAAAATACTTGATTCAACTAAAGATTTGCTTTATGTGGGGCAGCATTCCTGTAACTTGATGCAAAGCTTCAAAGTTTTGGAAAGATGTCCGTCTGACTTATTAGACCTGACCTCAAACTCATTTTTTCCATGGTACAAAATGTATGCTTCTTTTTGAAGGCACTATAAGGAGCTCTGGTCGCGTAGTGAATACGAATTGGGCTGCGAACCTTAAGGTCAGCGGTTCGAAACTACCAGCCACTCCACAGGAGAAAGATGAGGCTTTCTACTCCCATAAAGAATTACACCCTCGGTAACCTTGTACAGGTTTGCTATGGGTTGGAACTGACTCGACGGCACTTAACAACAACAACAAATAATTAAACTAAAAGTGTATTACTGAGAGAACTTGCCTGCAGGCATCCACTGATCACAGAGACATGTTTAAACACATTTTGTTCGGAATAAACCTGTGTATGTATGAACTGGAACCCTAGTAGCAATACTTTCTGACTTACCCTCACATGCATCTATATTTATACACACATACATGTGTATCTCTGGGCAAAGGGCTATGAAAAGTTCATGGTAAAATTCCACTATTTTTCAATTCCATTTCCCCATAAACTTACCGAAGCCCCCTTTGTGTGTGCATGCATATATGTATATCTGTACACACACATACACAGGAATGTAGACAGGCCCCCCTGCTGTCAAGACGATTCTGATTCATAGAGACCTTTGACAGAGTAGACTGTCCCGTAGGGTCTCCAAATCTTTACTTTTCAAGGGACTAGACCGCCAAATCTTTCTCTTGCGGAGCCAAGGTGGGTTCAAGCCACAGTTAGCAGCCAAACACTTACCCAATGCACCACCGGGACCCCTTAAACAGGATTACAAGCAGCAGACAATACATGATCAGGGCCTGTTAGTTTTCAGTGATAAAACAGACTCCCAGATAGTCATCAGTGAGGTTTAGTTTTCTACCACAGGATGCATTTTACAAGATATTCTAATTTTATTTATTTATATCCTACCCATTTCCAAAAAGAATTTCTAAGTGGCTTACAATAAAAGTTCAGATAACTGAATCAGGAAATTAATAACAAAAAAAGCAGGGACTTCATAATTAAGACATGTGTGTTGACAAAAATGAGCCATGAATAGTTGCTATAAATTTACCTCAAGATTCTTGATATCCAAAGGAAAAAAGAGAAAAAAAAACCAACAACAAAAAACGGAAAATCAGTGAAAATGAAAAAATCAATACAAATTAAAGAGTTCTGGTATGGAGGTATAGGATAAGCACTAGACTGCTAACAGCAAGGTTGGTGATTTAAATTCTCCTTGAAACGCTCTACAGGGTTGCTATAAGCCAGAACCAATTCAATGGCATATAAACAATAACAAAGAGCTTTGCGATGAACTGTCAGCCCCAGAGGCTGCACAGTACTCCAGAACAGTTTCTAAAGGTCTCATCAGAAAAATGTAACTTTAGCATCACAGATAATAGATGTTAGGAAATGATGCTACGGTTATTTGCCAGGTCACGGAGACAGAGAGCTGTCTCAGCATCCAGAGTGATCATTAGAATTGAAGAGATTTGGGGAGAATCATACCTTTTTCATTTCCACTCTTCTGTCTTGCCATTTCTTGTCTCAGGGCACAGAGAGAAGCTTCCCGCACCAAAGCAGACAGATCTGCACCCCTACAATAAAAGAAGTGCTCTTATTTATTCTTAGACACTACAAGAGAACAGAAAAAAGTCTAATAACAATTTTCTATTAAATCACATTATTAAAAAATTTAACAAGGAAACTGACCAATAAACAGAGCAAAAATTGATAATGATTCAGTGGGAAAGAAGTTTTAATAGTCTTTTAAGTATTTAACCTAATTTTAAGAAAAGAAATGATAGAGGAAACAAATGCAATGGGTCATAGATATTACATCTGTGGCACCTTGAAATTTACCTGAGAGTCTTAATTCCCAATAAGTGATTGTATAGGACTCTTAAGGCTGGGATTGGCTGAGTTTTGCCATCCAGCTAGGTTTAAAGGAGCCATCTGAGAAGCAGGCACATACATCCCCAGGAACATCAAAAAGGAAGAGCATGAGACCCCTACCTAGAAAATCAGCGACAGTAGAAGCTGGCAAATGGTGGACTGGAGAGACAACGTCTATGGCTCTAGGCCCATGGACAGAGTACAGCTGAGTGCCTCCAGGCAGGAGAATGGTTCACAGACTGGCTAAAAGAGTTTTCTAACACTTGCCTGCATAAGGCAGAGGCTAAGGGACCACATGGCTGATACGTCAAAGAAAGGAATGAGGTGTGCCTGTAGTATTGCTGACAAGAGCCGTCTCTGACTGGAAAACTGCTGTGTCCTGAGTTTTTCTGATTCTGTTTACTTCCCTAGTAAACCCCAAAATTATGAGTACTGTTAAGAGTTCTGTGTGGCCACTGCAATGAATTACCAAACCCAGATGTGAAGCAGAGAGTGCTGTGGGAGGAATGGTTATGTCAGAATAGGGTAAAGAAAGTTGCAGGGTAGAAGCATGTCTGACCTCCAATCAGCTGTGAGCTGCTTTTGAGTTTGATTCTCTTTCCCCCTTGTGAAGCCAGAGGAAGTCTGACATGGCTCCCACATGGTGTTTGTTTTGTTTTGTTTTGAAATTTTTATTGTGAATTGAGTGACAGTTTACATGGGAGAACATCGGTTTTATACTCAATGTTTCACTGCAATGATTACAATCTCCTCCTTGTATCATCATTCAACAGTATTTGCTGCTATTCCCTCTATTTTGTTTTTTTCCCCCTGGCCCGTTGGAGGAGGCACGGGGAGATGTGTACACCAAAACACTCAGGAATATATAATCATTTAAACAACCAAAGGACATATTCTGCAAGCCTGCCTCTTGGCCGCCAGCACTCAGTCTTTCTCTTTCCATGAGTCTAGAGTCCTCAGCTACTCTCTGTCTCTCCATGTCCTCATCTCTGCCTACATCTCTGGATAGGGTCTTACATTCTGCTCGTGCTCTTCTCCCTTGATGGTTCTAGGGTCCTCTGTTCCTGGACTGAAAGATTAACTATTCCGTTTGTTACAGAACCTCTACCTTTACAGTTGCAACAATTGCAATTAGTCATGATAACAATTACTCACTACTGAATCATAAGAATCTTATCTCCATCTCCTTTCACCAGACCCATCTAGACAAGATGAAAACTAATCAGTGGGGATTCTACCTTCCCCTGCACACTCTGAAATTAAACTCCATCTTGAAAACTTGTAAGCCAGTGTGTACAGAGGGGACAGGATTGATCCTTGATGTAAAGACGACTTCCCTCTCAGTTGGTATTTTGAGCTACTACATCCATAAGTATAGGTCAATTCATCAAATTGTCCTACCTGGTTTTTGTAACACTTCACTAGCTATAACAAAGAATCAAGCCCACTGTTATGGATGGAGCCAATTCCGACTTACAGAGAGCCAACATAGGGTTTCAGAGAATTTAAACCTTTACAGAGCAGAAAACCTTATCTTTCTCCCTTGGAATGAATGGTGGGTCTGAAAAACTGAACTTGCAGTTAGCAGCCTAATGCTTTACATACAGTGCCACCAGGGTTCCTTTCATTAGCTACAGATATGGTAAAACCTATGAAACCCAGCACCTGTATAAGGTGGAAACTTGTCAAAGAAGATGCCTCAAATATTTTTTCAATAAACTGAGTGAACAAGACAGTGGTAAGGCCTGTCAAAGGCAGAAAATTTCCAGAACTTGAAAAACAAGGCAGCCAGGTAGCGATCAGGGTCGCATAGGTTTCACTGTATTAATGCTAGCATGTTGTTGTTCTTAAATGTCCTCAAGTTGGTTCCGACTCATGGCAACCCTGTATAGGATTTCCATGGAGCAGCTGGTAAATTTGAACCGCCAACTTTGTGGCTCAAACCAACCTTGTGGTTCGGTGCTTTAGTTTTAGCTCACAGTCACACCAGAGCTCCACTATTAATGTAAATAAGTCTAAAATGTCCAATCAGTTAGAGATCACTTCTAAACTTTAAAAGCAGTTGAAGTTTGTTGTAATATTTCCATTTACCAGGGCTATGTTAAAGTGCTTACTGATACATTCATATGTTGCATAATGTTTAAACTAATCTTATATAAAATGTCATACAGGGCTTCAAGTTCAAAATGGAAAAATATAAAGGCTAAAAAAGGGCTTTGATGAAATTGATTTGAGCTTAAGCTAAATGAACGCGTTATAAATTACTTTACAAATGACCAGAAATCACAAGTCTTCCTTTAATAATATGAAGAATTAGCAAAGCTGAGTTATATAAAATACACTGGTGCTGACTGGGGTTTCAAAACATTCTAACTTTATCAGAATTCTTATAGTAGCTTTGAAAAAAGTTTGAATTTGGTGATAAAAGGTTTATTTCTAGATACTAAGCTTATTTATTCTATAAGGTTGACAATCTACTTAACATATAAAACTGAAAATCAACAGAGCTTGGATTCTTAACTGAATACACACTGTTTCTTTTGATTAAGTGCTGGTACTATAAAAACCATTTAATGATAACACATAGTAGGGAATTCATTTCTTAATGTTGAATCTAAAGAGATGCAGAGGCAACATAAATAAGCTAATGTAAACAGGTCACCGAAGACTCCACCAGTATATTATCTCTCAAACAGTGGGGGCAGCCGCTTTAAAATAAAAACACACTCCATTCACCTTCAGCCCCAGTCCCTTTACTTGCCGAGACTCTACCTGGTAAAACCCCGAGGTCTGAGCCCAGGGAATGCTGCCATCAAATCTACCTCTGTAACTCATGAAAATCTCTGAATTTTAGCACGCAAACTGCAAATGACTAGCTTTTTGGTCTTTTTTTCTTTCCCTACAACAGTGAGATCATTTAATTAAAAAGGTGATGTCCACCAAGGGGAGATACAAATCGTTCTTTAAGTTGCAGGGTCCTTTAGTCAGCCCCTCCCTGCCTTTGCAAAGTGAGCCATGATTACCGATGAGGGCAATCTGGAAATAATTCAGAGTGCCAGATGATTGTCAGTGGGTATTTCCTTTGAATATAAACTTAGACTGCCAAAAAGCAGACTTTTGTGGACCTAGAAGATTTTGAAAACTCCATACTGACTTACTTGGTCTTGGGGAATACCACGTTATTTAGACTTGCCCTAGGGCAGAGGTGGGGACCGTCTGATCAGAGGACAACAATATTGTTGTTAAGTGTCATCAAGTTGATTCCCACTCATAGTGACACTGTGTAGGGATTCCAAGGAATAACTGGGGAGTTTGAACCACAAACCTTGTGGTCCAGTGCTTTATCCAAGAAATCATTTGGTCTGGCCCAGCCAAGGAAATCACAGTTCCAACTATCCCATTGTTGTTAAGTGTCATCAAGTCGGTACTGACTCACAGCGACACTGTTTTGGGTTTCCAAGGAGTAGCTGGTGAACTGGAACCGTCAACCTTGAAGTTCAAAGTGGCTTTTCAGTCCAGCGCATTAACCCACAGCGCCACACCAGGACTCCAGCTATCCCATTAGGGGTGAGTTAATTATATGTCTGACTAAATAGCTGGCTAATTTTTAAGTTGATAATTTCATATGGCCCACGAACGATGTTAAAAACTTTGGCAGAAAAAAGGTGCCTTACCCCTGCCCTAGGGGAATGGTGTGGGAAGCATTTTGTATATAACCAACAAGGCTTCTATTAAAAAACAAGCCTGAAGGGAAAGATGTCTGTTAAACTTCAGTTTCATTTTCTTCCCTATGTTCCAAACTGGAAAAAACAAATTTTCTTAAAATGCATATGAGGAAAGACCAAAGCAACAGCAAAGGCAGAAATGTCTGGTTTTCTGCTTTTACTATAGGCTGTGTGTGTTACTATGTGTGCTGTGAAAAAGGCTATCTGAGGTTTGGCAAATGTGGCACAGGGACACTGTTCTCTATTAAACATTGAAGGACCTGGGCATTTTGGCAGCAAGTAGTGAAATGTGTGCTCAACTATTTTGTTACAACAGACAAAATTTGTGAATGGCAGCAACAGTGCTTAGAGCAGTGGAGTACCAAGAACCATATGGAAGGACTCCTATTTCCAGGAATTCCTTTCAAGGCTCAAAATGGTTCCTCCCTTCATGAGGAAATAGCAGCATAGAAATGCCAGATTCTATATTAGGTGTTTTGTGTGAAACTTCATTTAATCCTCCCTAAACCTGGTGAGGTGGGCATCATTTCCCCTCATTTTATACATGAAGAAATTGAACCTCAGAGTTACCCTTTAATGGCCAAGTTATTTTTTGGTTTGAATTTCTTGTTGATACCATATGATTTTTTAGTAACGGAAGGCGTGCTGAACAAGGGGCAAAAACTGTTTGAGATAATATGTCTCACGTGGACTCTGCAGGTAGGATTGGAGGGGTAAGGCCCGTTTCTTCAGATTCACACAGTTATGCAAGCCCCTACTAGGGGGCAGCAAATGCTATAACTGGGATAGCAACCTCCCAAGAAACCTGAGAAGCTGAAAATGTTGGTTGGTGCTAATGCTCCCTGGGTCAAAAAGTTTAACTGACTTGAGATTTAAATACTTACGTATAGCAGTCACAGCGGAGGTCACCAGCAATAGCATCCAAATTTACATCTGCATCCAGTGGGGGTTTGGTACCATTCTAAATACAAGAGAAAAATGAAGATTTTTCATTGAGGCTTTAGAGATCAGTATAATTATTCCACATAGTAATGGCTACTTGACCAAGTGAACTGACTCCCAGACCATCATTATAAGATTTTTACAAATTTCAGTTTTGAGAAATACGTAAGAAACAGATTAAAAATTCAGGAAAGCTAAAAAGGCAAACAATTTATGTTCATGAAGTCTGAAGACTGTGGGTGCTGTTGCAACCAAAACAAAGTGTCAAAAAAATGTGTAAGAAATACGTAAAAAAGGCACCCTCAAGGTGAAGATACACATGCTTTCTTTGCGGATTACAACAAAAACTTTAGCAGTGATTCCCAATGAGATGGATTGGCCAGGTGGCAGCATCAATGGACTCAAGCGTGGCAACAGTAGTGAGGTTGGCCCAGGATCAGGCAGTGTTTCGTTCTGCTGTGCACACAGTCGCTGTAAGTCTGTACCGACTACATGGAACCTAACAGCAACAAAAACAAGTTCCGATGTGCATATGCTGCACCCAGCTGAGAGGAGGAATATTGTGGAAGCTGGATGGGAGAGAACAAGCAGTGACCTGCTAGCCAATAAAACCCAGCCGGAGTACTCTGAGCTCAGTACGTTTTTCTTGATCCTTAATCTAAAATTCATCTCTGACTTGGTGCCAATTCTCCAGTTTACATCAAAGAGATGCTAGAAGTGACAAGTATCGGTACAGTTTTGGAATTCCAGCAATACTTAACACAGCACCTCTCATACCTACGGTATGAATTTAGTAACATTTTTAGTGACTTAAATTGCAGAGGAAAACAAACTGTTTTTAGTGACTTAAAACATATGGCATATTATAGTGACCCTGCTTGGTCACCTTAGAGCAGGTGGTGGTCTGGCAACGTCTTGCATATGGGGTCCCCAGCCGGTCTCCTCCCTCCCGGCCTTCTTCTGATGGTGGCTGTTTATGCTGGACGTGTGGCC